TAAGTGACACTATCAACCAGTAAAACTCCCAGCCCAACAAAGTTTACAGATAAAACTCACCCACTTAGAAAAATACTGAGAAAATAGATTTGCCATTTTAGTTTCACTTTGCTGCTGCTTGGGAAAGCTCTGAGCAGCAGCACAGACAGACACAGGAAGATCTGTACATTAGGTACAACCAAACAATGGAAATTGGATGAGGGATAGACTAGCTGAGATCTCCCAACCTCCACTTCTAATAGTTGCCAGGAGGACTAGGATAGCAGAGATCCCCTCACTCAGACAGCTGCTTTGCTCTTCCTCTTCACAGGTTGATGCCTCCCTTTTTAAAATGTAATGCAGGACATTTAGGTCCCAATCCTGCAAACACTTTTCCATTGACTTTTCCATTAATCAATGGGATTACTCACATGAGTAAAATTATGCCCATGCAAACATGTTTGCAGGATTGGGGCTTTAGTTGCTATGGGATAATACAAGCAGCTGCATGGGATGGTTTGATGGTACATAATTCTCCTCCTTCCCAACAAATTTCAAACTTTTTGATGCTAAGAGCTGCAGAATGAGGGGTTTTTTTGTTAAGTGTTTACTCTTTGTTCAGATAGAAATTGCATTCTTTTTACTAAATCTTCTGCATAAAATCCATTATTGGACATTTTGTCTCTCAATAATTACTTCTGTCAATAATCTTCAAAGTTTTCCATGTACTTCATTGTCTGTAAAAGGATGTGTTACAGTACCTTGATAAACTACTTTCCTTCTGCTGTTCTATTTCTTTTGTCCCACTGTTTGAAAGAGGAATCCAGGATGAAGAAAAACATTTATAACTAGCACAATGTAGTTAGTAACTGATCCCCTCTCCTATGGCTTACAGACTTTGAAGTAAAGGTGAATTCCAGAGTAATGGGAAATATTATGTAACTGCATAATAATTTTCAAAATGTGTGAACTAATTCAAGATGTTAAGTAAGAAAATAATAAGCTGCACCCATATGGAAATTTGTAAAGGAAATGTGAATTTTTAAAAAGTGGCCTCTAACTATGGGCACCTCTGTTTTTTTGGGTACTGAACTTTTCAGACATGAGTGTCTCAGGTTGGGCATCCAGATACTGAGGTATTCAAAATCAATGGCCATTATCAGCTAGTTATCTTCACTTATGTCTTTTCCAGTCTATGCTAGTTGAAGTAAAAATGTGGGTCAAACGAACACAAATACCGGCTATGGGATAGTGCTGGCTGGTGACTTAACAGGGATAAATGTGAACTTTTAAAACCTGAATTTGATACAATTGAACTCACATCTTTACAGTGACCACAATATTCAAAAGAAATATTGTTTACAAATAAAGTGGTGGGACTCGGGAGACTGGAGAACTCAGGAGATTGATAAAGGAAGTGATATGGAGACATGGTGGGGTACCATGGTGAAACTCCCATGGCTACTGCCCATGGTCTGTATCACTTTGGTAGGTAAATAGATAGAGCCCTTGTTTTTCATTTTATTTCATGTTATTTGGCATTTGTGAAAAATAACTTGTAAAATGAAATAAAACAAACAAACAAACCAAAACTACCCCACAGTGGCAGCTTCTGTCTTGTGGTGTGGGTCCAGCTCCCCACTCCAGGCATTGTAAGCTAGTGCACAGGGTCACAGTGCTACTCATGTTTGGACCATCTGCCCCTCTATGAAGATGGTGGGGTGGCTTCAGCCAAATTTGAATGAGCGGCATTGCGACCTAGTATGTGAGGCACAGCATACATAGGGTGAGATCACCTTGCGAACCCTCCGGCAGGGCCTCCCATTCTGGACCCTGCCTCCAGGGCATCCGAAGATAAAACTAAAGTAGAACCTCAGAGTTATGAACACCTTGGGAATGGAGGTTGTTCATAATTCTGAAATATTTGTAACTCTGAACAAAATGTTATGGTTGTTCTTTCAAAAGCTTACAACTGAACATTGACTTAATACAGTTTTGAAACTTTACTATGCAGAAGAACAATGATGCTTTTAACCATCTTAATTTAAATGAAACAAGCACAGAAATATTTTCCTTATCTTGTCAAATCTTTTTTTAAACCTTCTCTATTTTTTTAAAAAGAACAGGAGTACTTGTGGCCCACGAAAGCTTATGCTCTAATAAATTTGTTAGTCTCTAAGGTGCCACAAGTACTCCTGTTCTTTTTGCGGATACAGACTAACACGGCTGCTACTCTGAAATCTATTTTTTTAGTAGTTTACATTTAACACAGTACTGTATTTCAATTTTAAGTAATCCTCTTGCTTCCTTTTAGTGTTTGTTATCCATGGAAAAAAATGCCAGCCCAAAAGCCCACTGATTTTAATGTCCATTCAAATAGCACTAAAAAGAATGCTGCAGTAAAACATACCAGCACTAGTCTTTATAATGACAATTAAAAATAAGTATCCAAACTTAACTTTCCTGCTTAAGTACTACAGGATAAACTATGTAGACTTGAAAAAATCTTTAATGGTACCCTGCTTGAGGTTGCTAACACACTTTTTTGCTGCCAAGGTGCATAGCTCTTGAAGCATCATTAGGTTCATTGGTGTGGCTTCAGGCTGTTGTCTTCAATTGCTTGAACAGGCAGCGAAGCACTCTTCTGCTTGCATGTGTGGGATCTTCTTGGTGTTTCTCCCCCTCCTTCTTGTCACTGTCAATGTCACTGTCCATTTCTCTGTGCTGTTTCTCGTACTGATTCAATTATCTCATGGTCACTAACAGGGCCGGCTCTAGGTTTTTTGCTGCCCCAAGCCAAAAAACAAAACAAAACCAAAAAAACCAACAACAACCCTCCCGGAATGCCGCCCCTGGAATTGTGCTGCCCCAAGCACGTGCTTGATTTGCTGGTGCCTAGAGCCGGTCCTGGTCGCTAAGAATAGGGTGTTCATGCTCATATTTATCTGCGTTTAGCCATTCCTTCCTGTTCCTCTGTAGTGATATCCAAGAGCTGTTGCTCTTTAGAAACTTTTAGTTGTTTTATTTCCATCTGATCCTTGTTTTCCCAATTATCAGTTTCAGTGTTATCAATACATGGTCAAAGTTTATTCCATGAGCGTCTCAAAGACTCAGAGCCAATCTCACTCCAAGACTTGCACACATGTAGACAGCATCTTTGATTGCCAGCTGTTTACAAAAATCTGTAAGATTCAAATCACATTGATCCCAGTAATAATTGCCATAAGAGGTTTCATTTGTATCTATGTTTCATGTTTTCCAGAATGCCTTGGTCCATTGGCTGACCGTTTGTGATGTTTGGTGGCAAAAGCAAACACCGAATGCTTCCATCAATAGATTTTCAATGGCAGGGTGAGATGGAGCATTATTCATCAGTAGCACAGCTCGGCTAGGTAAAGATTTTGACATAAGGCAGTCTTTTACAAGTGGAACAAAGTTTTTTAAAAAACAGTCGGTAAAAATGCCATCCATCAAAGCACTGCACTGGCTGTAGTAATGGATGGGTAGAGCTGACACAGTGATGTCTGCAAAGCAGCGAGGTTTCACTTTTGTGAACGAACAGCAAAGGGAGACATGATCTTGACCAGATCTTTACTGGATTTGAAATTCTTTGCCTGTTTTTCTGAACGATCTACCAGAGTCTTGTTTGGAAGCAGATGCCAGTACTGGCCCATCTCGTCACAGTTAAGCACTCAGTCCTGGGTAAGTTTGTACTGTTCAATAAATGATTTGAAAGTGGTTTTTAAATTCACCAGTGGCATTCGAGTCAGCTGTCAGAGACTCCTTGCATCCCCAACTGCTGTATTCCATGCCACCATGTGCTTGCTTTAAAATTGTCCTCACCTTTGTCTGGATACATTTCTCAGTAGAGTAATAGTCTTTTTTGTTACTATCACACCGGGTATAGGCATGCCTTTTGATCTTGCTCTTGCAAATCACAGATGCAGTGCCTTATTAAAATCAGCAACTTTGTGTAAATCTCTGGTCCTCAAACTTTTGTACTGGTGACCCCTTTCACATAGCAAGCCTCTGAATGCGACCCCCTCTTTTAAATTAAAAACACATTTTTATATATTTAACATCATTATAAATGATGGAGGCAAAACAAGGTTTGGGGCGGAGGCTGACAGCTTGTGACCCCGAGGGGCCCCGACCCCCAGTTTGAGGTAAATACACCTGTTTTTTACTGCTTCACTGTCTTTGGCTTCTTTTGCAAATTGCTTTATTTTTTCCTGGCTTTTCCGAATATCAGTGATGGTTGATTTTCTGATACCCTATTCTACTCCTATGTGGCTGAGGCTAACACCATGGCATTGTCAAGTTTTTAAAATATTTCTAGCTTTATGTCAATTGAAAGTGTGACATGTTCGTACTTGCCACTGCTTGCCATTCTGCTTAGTCATGCAGTATTTGCTTTATTATTTTTTATCTCTGCTGATGCATGATTGCGTACTTCTAGGTCCAGATGAGGTGTGTGGGTTGACCGGTCAGTTCGTATCTCTGAGGTTCTACTGTAAATTCCAAACAAAAGAAACCAAACGAAACATTGGAAAAACATCCCAAGAATGTCAGGGGGCTCCATAACCCAGGAGCGCTGTCCATAATCACCACTGCCGGAGCGGTGGGGGCGTTTTGGTGGTGCTAGGGGGCAGATGGGAAGGTTTCCTCCTATTTCCTGCTACTAGGTGTCTGCCTTGGTCAAGATATGGCCGGGCCTCAATGTCTGCACGGCTGCCCGAGGCTGGTGCAATGGGGCGGTTGTGGCACTGGGGCTGCCTCTGCAGCGGGCACATGGGGGGAGCCCTGGCTACTGTCCCTGTGCCGCGAGGGTGCGATAGACACGCGTGGGGCCTGGCCCCGGGGCGCAGCAGCGTGAGCGTGAAGCCGGCTGGTGCCCGGAGGGGCGGAGGGAGCTGCCCAACCTGCCTGGGAGCGCTCAGCTCCCTCCCCGTTCATTGGCAGGCTCCCCTCGCCGCGCTTCCTGCTCTGTTCGCCTCGCCGCCAGCCGCAGCAGCCCCTGCCGCCAGCAGCCGCCCCTTCCTCCGGGGGCCGCGGGGACGTTGCTGAGAGCCGGGAAGGTGCTGCGGGCCGGGCTGTCTCCCAGGAGCGGGCCGTGCCGCGCCGCGGCGAGCAGCGCTGCAAGCGGCGGAGAAAGGTGAGTAAGTCTCGGTGCCGCCGCTTTGCGGGGCTCCCCCACCCCGACTCCTCCTGCCCTTCCCCCGCGGCGGGAGCGCGTCCCTGCGGGGACTGCCTCGGTCCCGGGCCGGGCTCCTGCTTGGCTCGCTCCTTGCTGAACCCAATGCCTCGGCTGGAACGTGCGCGAGGAGAGCAGCCTGGCCATGGAGGGAAGGGGACCAGTTCCCCTCCCCCCTGCAGCTTTGGGGGGGGGGAGGGCGGTCAGCAGGCTGGCCTGGAGGGAGCCCCATGTGATACGGTCCCTCGCAGAGATTGTGTCAGTCAGCTGCCATGTAGCTAATCCCTACTCCGCAGAGAGCTGGCAAAGTGTTTCTCGGCTCTTGCAGACTCTCTCTGGTGGGGAGTTTCTTCACCCACCACTGAAATGCAGCCACCTCTTGGGGGTGGGGTGGGGCATTTAAGTGTGCAGCCAACTATACTGAGGTGCAGCTCCCTGATTGGTGCAGGGATGGTGAGAAGTAAGAGAAGGAAGCAAAGTACCACAAGGCTACTCTGGAAAAGTGTCACCTTCTGATTCTGTTCCAGAAAGGGATTTGGGGAGGGGGTTCATCCTTTCTCCTGGGCTTGTCTATGGAAAAAGGGGCAACCCAGAGGCTGGATTTTAGCACGTGGAGTGGAGACTTGGCTAGGGGAAGGAGTGGTTGGAAAAATAAACTTGCTCAGTCATGGTAATTATCAGATGGGGTTCACTGCCAGATTGTGAATGTTTCATGTTTATTTTTATCTAGGGCTTGGCTACACTGGCAGTTTACAGCGCTGCAACTTTCTCGCTCAGGGGTGTGAAAAAACGCCTCCCTGAGCGCAGCAAGTTTCAGCTCTATAAAGTGCCAGTGTAGACAGTGCACCTGCGCTGGTAGCTACGCCCCTTGTGGAGGTGGGTTTTTTTTTTAGAGTGCTTTTGCATTGCCTGTGTAGACTAGCCCTTAGAACCTCTGCTTAGACTGGTGAGGGCATGTGTGTGTGCACATATTTATTTACATTATATACATTTTTGTGTATTTATATATAATATCCACTCCTGAGCAGGGAAGGAGAACTAATAATGGGTGACATTAAGAAGGCTGTGTTTAATGCCTATTTTTCTTCAGTCTTTTCTTAAAAATGTCACAGATACTCAACATAAGTAATATTAAAGTGGGGGAGAAACAGATTTCAGAATAGGGAAAGAGCAGGGTAAAGAATATTCAGCTAAATTAGATGTATTCAAGGTAGCAGGACCTGATGAAATTTATCCTAGGCTATTTAGGGAACTAGCTGAAGCAATCTCAGAACCATTAGTGATTGTCTTTGAGAACTCATAAAGCATATGGGTGAGGTCGCAAACAACTGGAGAAAGGCAAACATACTACCTATCTTTAGAAAGGAGAACAAAGGGAACCTGAGTAATTATAGACCAGTCAGCTTAACTTTGATACCTGGAAAGATACTGGAACAAATCACTGAATAATCAACTTGTAACCATCTAGACAATAATAAGTAATAGGCGGCATGGATTTGTCAAGAACAAATCATGCCTAACCAACTTAATTTCCTTCTTTGACAGGGTTACTGGCCTAATGGATGGGGAAAACAGTAGATGTGATAGATCTTAATTTTAGTAAGGCTTTTGACACAGTCCTACATGACTTGCCCATAAGCAAACTAGGAGAATGTGGTCTCTATAAAATTACTATAAGGTGAGTGCATAACTGGTTGAAAGATCATACTCAAAGAGTAGTTATAAATGGTTCTCTGTGAAACGGGGAGGGTGTTTCTAGTGGGGCCTTACAGGGGTCTGTCCTGAACTATTCAGTATTTTCAGTAATGACTTAGAAAGGAGAGTATGCTTATAAAATTTGCAGATGACATTAAGCTGGGAGGGTTTGCAAGAATTTTGAAGGAGAGAATTAGAATTCAAAATAACCGTGACAAATTGGAGAATTGATGTGAACTCAACAAGATGAAATTAAATAAAGACAAGTGCCAGAGTATCAAGAAGAAGAGGTTAGGGACCCTGCCCTAACCTAACTGTTGCATGGATTCTAAATATCCACTGTTCTGTTACTAAGGACTTCCTACTTTTAAAATTTCTCCCACTTGATAAGGCACTCCCCCAAAAGCATGTGAAATCAGTTGTCTAGTACAGTGTTTCTCAACGACCACTCCGTGGACTGGCGCCAGTCCCTGAGATCTCCCTGATACAGTTTAAGAAGGCAGCAAGTCCCTGCTATCAAAAAGGTTGAGAAACACTGGTAAACTGTTGAGTTGAGTTGTTGACATCATGCAAGATGCCTAGACAAAGAAGTAAACAATTGGGAGCCACACTGGTCTTTGCTTACACTAGAAACCCAGAACAATTTAGGGATTTGAAGGCCTATTCCTATCTTTAACTCGGCTTGATCATGGGATGCGTCCCTTTCACTTAGGGCTAATCTACACTGGCAACGCTAAAGCGCTGCCACGGCAGTGCTTTAACATGGCTTGTGTAGTCATGGCAGAAGTGCTGGGAGAGAGCTCTCCCAGCGCTCTTAAAAAAAACCCACCCTCATGAGAGGTGTAGCTACCAACGGTGAGAGTGCGGCTCCCAGCGCTGGTGCACTGTTTACACTGGTGCTTTACAGCGCTGAAACTTGCTGAGCTCAGGGGTGTGTTTTTTCACACCCCATGAGCAAGAACGTTGCAGCGCTGTAAATTGTCAGTGTAGACAAGCCCTTAAATTAACAACAGTTTGCTTAGCAGAAGGTGTTAAGAGGCAACATGTAGTGGTTGCAATGTTAATGCTTTTCTGAGGCCTTGGCTACACTCGCGGATTCACGGCAGCGCTGTGAAGCGCGAGTGTAGTCGCGCCGCCAGCGCTGCGAGAGCTCTCTCGCAGCGCTGCAAGTACTCCACCTCTCCGAGGGGAATAGCTTGCAGCGCTGCGAGGGAGCGTGCAGCGCTGCAGGCGCTGATTACACTGGCGCTTTACAGCGCTGCGCTCAGGGGGGGTGTTTTTTCACACAAGTGCAGCGCTGTGAATTGCCAGTGTAGCCAAGGCCTAAGAAGAGAACTTCCCCGGGTTCCAATCAAATGCCATATGCAGTGGCATTAGAAGAGAGAGACTGCAGCATCACTTTGGTGCTTTTTTTCTAGACATCCCTTTTACTCTCCTAACATTGTTTTATGTGGCATTTTTGTGGACTTGAGGCATTGTGAGATTCCGTTTTAGATGGTGGTATTAAATGGCACATTAAAAGTAAAAATCATATTGTATAAAACTTTCCAATTCCCTGCTACTAGTCACACCCTAGGTTATTAAAACTGAAAACATAAGAAATCCGGTTTATGGGGATTATTTATGGTGATTTTACTCTTTTGAATTTTGTTGCTTGTGCAATTAAGCTATTCAGTCTTGCTTTCATTCATAGTCAATTTCACTTTCAGGTTCTCAATGTTGCAAATAAATCAAAGGGAATATTTATTTAAAACAACAGTTGCTGTTGGATTTTCTAAATCAGTTGTGAAAACACTTTTATTGGCTGTTAATTTTTGAAATGTATATGTAATTCTGAAACTTCAAACTATTTTGAGCCACAAACCTCTCTAGGTTCTGCTATCTATTAAGTATAGGGAGGACAAAATTGTTAAAGCAATTAGTTCTACTTTTGGCATCTCAGAGGGTATTAAATTAAAGGAGAAAATAAATATTCCTTGATTTAAAGTAATAGAGTAGTGGTAACAAAGAAAGAAGGAATAGTACATTTCAGTATTTCCTGGTTATTTTAATAAGCTATTTGTGGCTTAAGTTCTCTCTTTTATCATGGCTCTGAGACCGTGAATCACAGGGGTTTCATATGATGCTTGCATCAGAATGATCAAAATGTTAAGCAGTTTAATTTGCTATGCTCTCTAAATGTTACCCATTCATTTCCTGTGGACTTTAAAAAGAGGTAATTTGATAGTTTGAACAAATATTGACTCAATGACATCACTCAACATCTGATATATTATTTTTATTTTTATTTTTTATGATGACTGCCATCTTGGATCAAACCAGTGGCCCTCCTAGGGACAAGCACTCTGGACAGTGGCTATTGCCAGATGCTTTAGAGCAGTGGTTCTCAACCAGGGGTATGCATACCCCTGGGGATACATAGAGGTCTTACAGGGGGTACATCAACTCATCTAGATATTTGCCTAGTTTTACAATGGGCTACATAAAAAGCACTAGCAAAGTCAGTACAAACTAAAGTTTCACACAGGCAGGACTTGTTTATACTGCTCTATACTATATACTGAAATATAAGTACAATATTTATATTCCAGTTGATTTATTTTATAATTATATGGTAAAAATGAGGAAGTAAGAAATTTTTCGATAATAGTGTGGTGTGACCCTTATATTTTTGTATATTTTTGTCTGATTTTGTAAGCAAGTACGGTAACTCCTCCGGGGTCCGCCGGTGGGTGGGAGGCGCTGTGGGGGAGCATGGGGGGCTGCCAGCCGTGGACAAAGCAGGCGGCCAAATGACATAATAGAGGAGCATTGCACAACTTTAAATGAGGATGTTCTGTAATGGAGCAGGGACGTAACATCAAAATAACGTTAAGCAAGCGGACGTTAAGTGTGGAGTTACTGTAGTTTTTAAGGGAGGTGAAACTTGGGGTTCACAGGACAAATCAGATTCCTGCTATGTGTTTTCTCAGTGTTTTCCTGTATATGTTTATGCAGGTAACTGGACACATGAATCTCATGATAATACCTGTATGATGGGGCTTACTTACTTACTTAATGTGACTTGCTTACCCATGAATCAAAAAACTACTTACATAGCAATTGAAATAACTATATGTTGTACCACCAGACATCTACATTGTACAAATTAATATCTATATAATCATGTTTGTAACATTTACTAGGCTGCTTGCTTAGTTGTGTAACAAACTGTTTCAAATATGCAGTGCTATCTAGGTACTTTAAGCAGGCATAAACAGAGATAA